GTTTAATTTGCTCCTTTTTTGTTTGATTTAAAGAACCCTTTTTGGGTTTTGTTTTAACTATTATATCAAGAGCTTTTTGCTTTTTGAATTTTACTCTTAAAGGTGTGAACTTTTGTGCTTGTGGATGGAGAAGATCAAGTAAATTCTGTATTTTGGATAAAGTATTTGAAATTTAATTTGAAGATAGTATATGTAGCATCAATTTGTTTATTGTTATTTATAACTAACTGTTTCTTTAATTGATGTATTATTGCCTTTCTATGAATACTTTGAACAAGGACAGTAGTTTATTATTCTTTAAAATTTGGTTGTCATGGTCAAAAGCTCTGAACTTTTCTTTCAAGAATTGGAATTTGCTCTTTTCTTCCTTGATTTAACAACTTTTTCTGGGTTCTATGAGCCGTGTTCGTTAGGCGTTGTTTTATATCAAGTAGGCTCTTGAAGATCATTCTATCGGAAATAGCCTCTCTATCCCCAGTATAGGGGTAAGGTCTGTGTATACACTACCCTCCCCCGGACCTCACTTGTGGGATTATACTGGGTTGTTATTGTTGTTGTCGGCTCTTGAAGATCAGATAGAATCATTTTTGGATAAAGATTTTTTTGTTTGGTTTTGCTTATGTCAAGTAGGGGTGTTTTCTTTTTATTTCTTTTTTAACTTCCATCTTGAAGGTGTGAACATTTCTGCTTATGGTTGTTGAAGATCAGGTTATAAGCTCATCTTTTGGATGAAGTTTTTCTTTTGTTGGATGTAGTTGTATGCGAATTTTTTTGGGCATCTGCTGCTTGCTATTGTGCTTTTTCTCTTGCCGAGTCTCTTCTGCGTCTTTGTTTGCCGTTTTTCTCTTTAAAATCTATGAGGAACAGTTTTCTTATTTTGGTTAGACTTATATTTCCGCGTAGAGATAAGTGTGGGATTTGAGTACCTCTAGTTCTAGGAAAGCACTAATTTGCATTAGAAGACAAATTTTATCTAGTATTGATATGAAATGGGACTGAATAGTGCGGATGGATACATAGATTGATATAGTTTTTCTCGACTAGTTTGGAATTGAGTTACAGTTGATTGACTGATTGATAGAAATGACTCGTCATATAACTTTTTCCCTGCAGTTATTAAATTTCCCCTTCGCTGTTTTGTAGGTTTCTGGATTTAGCTCAGGAGAAATTGGATTTGTACTTGCAATGCATTTCACATTGGTTGGGGTTTGCGAACTAGTCTAAAGAGATCTTAAATGTTTCATTCAACTACGTAACTAGGCCCTTCGATTGATGCAGTTATGACCGGGCCTTTCACCAAGATGGCATTGGATAACAGAGCTCTTACCACTCTTGCTTCTATTTTGATCTACTTGGTCTTGTGTTTCGATGTTTGCTGTGCTGTTCAAAGCGATATTGACTGTCTGAAATCTGTAAAAGAGTCATTAGAAGATCCATTAAATTACTTGGGGTCAACATGGAACTTCGATAATCAGACTGAAGGTTTCATCTGCAAATTTACTGGGATTCAGTGTTGGCATCCGGATGAAAGCAAGGTTCTAAGTATCAGTCTTCCTGACATGGGTCTTAGGGGCAGGTTTCCACATGGTGTTCAGAATTGTACCTCTATGACATCATTAGATCTTTCGAGCAACGAGCTCAATGGAAGTATTCCATCTAATATCTCCAAAATTATAGGTTTTGTGGTAATCCTGGATCTCTCATCCAACAACCTATCTGGGGAAATCCCAGTGGATCTCGCAAACTGCTCTTTTTTGAATGACATTAAACTTGACAACAACCAGTTGACGGGACAAATTCCTCCACAAATTGGCCTGCTTGGTCGGCTCAAGACTTTTAATGTAGCAAACAATCGATTGACCGGACCAGTTCCAAATTTCATTAATGCAACTATTCCCGCTGAGAGCTATGCCAATAATGCAGGACTCTGTGGAGGTCCGTTAACTCGTTGCAAGGGTTCTTCCAAGAAACCCCGTACAGGAATCATTGTCGGTGCAGCTGTTGGTGGGGTGACTTTAGGTGCTGTATTTGTGATCCTCTGCACGTTCTTCTACTTGAGAAAGATATCCAGGAAGAAGAAAAAGGAAGAAGATCCCGAAGGGAATAAATGGGCGAAGAGTATTAAGGGTACCAAGACAATCCAGGTGAGAATTTGTACTCTGCCGAATCATTATAAACTCTGTCTCTTTATTGACATTTCTGTTCGCACTTTGTTCATTTGTCAAAATCAATTCTAGTGGGTTGTTGTTTTTGTTTACTGTTCCTACTGTAGCACTGTGATCATATTTATAATCATAAATTCATGTTTTCTTATAAGCATTCAACCTCCATGTTATGTGTGAAGTATGAATTTTCACATGTTGTTGTGTGATTTTTCTCTTGCTCAAGCTTTCTTAATTGACTTAAGGTGTGTTATTTTCAGCTTTCAATGTTTGAGAAGTCTGCTTCAAAAATGAGATTAAGTGATCTCATGAAGGCCACTAACAACTTCAGCAAAAGCAATATCATCGGGTCAGCAAGTACCGGGACTTTCTACAAAGCAGTACTTGACGATGGTACTTCACTTATGGTTAAGAGATTGCAGAATACTCAACATTCAGAGAAAGAGTTTGTATCTGAGATGGATATTTTGGGAAAGGTAAAGCACCGCAACTTGGTTCCTCTTTTAGGTTTCTGCATGGCGAAAAAAGAAAGGCTGTTGGTCTACAAGGACATGCCAAATGGCACCTTGCACGATAAGTTACATTCGGTGAGTGAAGGGGAAAAAACGCTCGAGTGGCCTATGAGACTTAAGATTGGCCTTGGAGCAGCCAAAGGATTTGCATGGCTTCACCACAACTGCAATCCTCGTATTATTCACAGAAACATTAGTTCTAAATGCATCTTGCTGGACGTGGAATTCGAACCAAAAATATCAGATTTTGGACTCGCTAGGCTCATGAATCCAATTGACACTCATTTGAGTACCTTCGTCAATGGAGAATTCGGGGACTTTGGTTATGTTGCTCCTGAGTATGCACGAACTCTTATGGCTACACCAAAAGGTGATGTGTACAGTTTTGGTGTTGTACTTCTTGAGTTAGTAACTGGTGAGAGACCGACCTCTGTCACTAAAGCTCCCGAGACCTTTAAGGGAAATCTCGTGGAATGGATTTCAAATCTCTCTGGTGAATCTAAGCTTCACGATGCGATTGACCATTCGTTGTCTGGTAAAGGTTATGACAGTGAGATTTTCCAGGTCCTTAAAGTTGCATGTCGTTGTGTGTTGTCTGCTCCTAAGGAGAGGCCAACAATGTTTGAAGTGTACCAGTTTCTGAGAGCCATTGGAGAGCGATATCATTTCACAACTGAAGATGACATTTTGATGATGCCTTCAGAAAGTGATGATGGCGGACATCAACTGGACGAACTCATCGTTGCTCAATAAGTAAAAGAGGTTCGTTGTTCGGTGATAATGGTTGAGTAAGTAAGATACAGTAATTAATATAGAATCATAGTAGTCCTCTGTAATTGTAGGTTGTCTGTCTGTTCTGCATAATCTTTTTCTATCCTGTACAAATACCACGTTCGCTAATTCTACTGTAAGTCCCTTCTTCATAGCTTACCCAACTATGTAATTTGTGTTTCCTTTTCTGTATTTTTATTGCTGAAGAGATGTATACAGATTAGATGTCTGTCTCTATCTTTCTCTTTTTTTTCTTTTTTCTTTTTTTTGATTGGTTCCTATACAGATTAGATGTTAGTCAATTTTTTTCTCCAGACCCTTGTATTAAGCTTGAAGGGGAGCCTTGAAACAACGGTCAAGTTGTCTCCTTGTGACCTACAGGTCATGGATTCGAGACGTGGAATCAGCCACTGATGTTTGCATCAGGCCAGGGTAGGCTACCTACGTCACCCACCCCCTTGGGGTGCGGCCTTTCCCTGCACCCTACGTGAACATGGGATGCTTTGTGCACCGGTTGTCTTTTTTTTTTTTTTTTTTTTTTTTTTATCCTTGCATTAAGGTTGAAGGGAGGGAAGGGACTTAAATATTCGCGAACTCAAAGAACAGAACTCCTCCAGCTCACCTATCTCTTCGCGAACGCGGTCTTCTAGTAGATTATTTATACAGATTATTGAGGAAGTAACTCAGTTTAGCTCAATGAGGTCATTTGTTAAATATGCTTTAATTTTAAGTGTAGAATTTAGTCCAATAAACTCATCAAAAATTGGATTTGGAAAGAGGCATGATTTCTGCCTTCGCTTTTCAGCTAATCTTGATTACATGATATTTTGCTTTACACACTTTAAAACGGTAAATACTTTTCCAACAACGGTCTAAAACTTGAGATGCTCCTTTTTCTGATGGAGAATCCTATTTCATTATCAATCCTAATCATATTAAGAAAAGTTCCTATTTCTGCTTTATACGTTATTCTTGCCAAATCTTGCATCAATTTCTTCTAGAAGCTCTTGATCTTATTGACTTGCGACCAAATAAGTTGGGATCGACTACATGAATCCCCACTAATCATATTTTGCCATCTAAATTTATCTCAGGCTAACATTACACAAAATAAAAACAAAAGAAATACTCCAAGTTCTCTATATTTTCCATTGGCATAAAAATCTTTGATAGGGTTAAAGGAGTCCTACAAAGCATAACACAACAACAATAATAACAGAAAACCCAGTGGAGTCCGGGAGGGCAGTGCGTGTACACAGACCTTACCCTTATCCTTGGGAGGTAGTGAGGCTGCTTCCGATACACCCTCGGCTCAAAAAATTTAAAATATATTTCCAACTAATCGATATCACCTATATAAATATTTTTTTTTGATTGTGTCTTATCTTTCGCCAAATCCGCATGAATTCCAAGAAATGATAGATCCTTCTAAACAAGTTTTTTCGTGTGATTTTAGGTCTACTTCGTCCCCTTTTAACACATTCAGTTAACATGATGGTAAACTTACAAGAAAAGTTTTTGCTTTGTCTTGCTGAAGAAAATCTGCTCTATCATGTCAAAAGAAATAGAATTTCCCAATATCTTATAGAATGATCTAATATAATACAAAATTCAGATAGATGAAAGAGTTACATATGCCTAAATAGTTCTGCACAATCTAAGGCAAACTCCTATGCTTCCTATATAATACATTACATTGGTTTTGGCCAAAACCAAAAACTAGCATTTGCCTGTTATGACCAAATAATTCTACTGAGGAGATGAGCTTTCCTCATCAGAGAAACTATGCTGTCGTTTAGCTCTGAATCCACTAATGACAGGTTGTAGATTTGGATTAACTGGAACTGGAAACTTTTGAGCTGAACTAACTATTGTCCGCTCATTTATCGTTCCAACTTCCTTACAAACGCGATCAAGAATCGTTAGGAAGTCTTTAACAACCATGAATATTCTGAAAGGGTGAGCCTCTTCTCTAGCTGAATCTCCATGGACATACTCGGTTATTTCTTTCACCAGCGACATGGCCAACGTTTCTTGAGCTTGGAGCTTTGAAATCTTCTCTTCTGCTACTTTCATAAACCTGTTCATGGACTCGGAGAATCTTTTAATACTGCTTTCCTCCAATCCGACAGCTTCAATGGATCGTACAACTTCAGCAATGTTTCCAATCCCTTTAGAAAGCTTAAAGACATCGCTGTGGAGCACTTCTGAATCCATGGCAGCAGCTTTTTTGACATTTATAAGCTCTGAACTAATACTGGAAACAACTTGGAGGCCAAGCTTCCTGCACTTTGCGTCGTCATTGGTAGTAGACTGTTGATTCTGATTTCCACCAGAAAGACGAGCACCTTCACTTTTTATAATCTCATGAACCACAAAATGCAAGAGGGTTGTTTTCCCATCTGCTCCCTTTACATCAACAAGCTTTAGCAGTGTGTCAAGTTTGAAGGCATGAGCATCACCCCTATTTGTCCCAACATTCATGCGATTTCCCGTCTTTAGCACTGCTTCTAGAAGCTTTAAGAACATTCTGCTACTTCTCAACTCTTCACATGCTGCCTGTAATAGGAAAGCTTTATAAGGACATAGTTCGCAAGTTGTATTCTCACAATAGAATTAATTAACTAACATTTTTCATTTAAAAAAAAATTGGGCGAATGAGAAGAGTATATACTTGCATTGACTCTATTAGCAGGCAGTTAACGAGCGAGAACAAATTTTTGGCAGTTTCAGATCATTATACACGATTACTCCGAAGTCCAATATTTAGCCGCTAATCTCCTAAAATAGGGACATGACAACAGCAGATATATCAAGCTAATAGGATCTCTGCTTGTTCCCAGACAGTATTCAGAAATGCTCACAGATACTAGTCACAAGATCAACACGTTAAACAATCGTTCCTCCAAAATAATGTAATGCTTATTATTTCCAGAGTTTGATTTTTCAAGATACACAGTTGTTTGATTCTTTAAGTTAGTATTGAGCATCAATAGTTCACACAAGTGTTCTTCTGATCAAAATCAAAATTCTTCTCGTGAACAAATAATCAATAACAAGTAGAAGCTGATGATGACGTGAAATAATTACCTCTAGAGTTTCAAATGACTTTCTGAGGTAGTCAACCTCATAATCAAAATTTGATATGTAGAGCATAGCATCTACCCTTTTGAATGCAAAAGGTATATCAAGCACTGCTTTCAGAAACTTCTCCGCGGGGCCAAGCTTGAATGGAGAATCATCTTTGTATTCTTTTAGCTTACGTTCCTCCTCTTTGGATGGAGCCATCTTCAATAAAATCTCAAGGAGTTCAGTCCCAATATTTTCAGCATTTCCTGAAAAGAAGATGTAATTTGTTATTGCACTCTATTCTCCAACATACACCTTTATTAAGTGTAAATACACTTTAACTTCTGCCTATTGATGAAACTATTAAAGAACAATTATCGAAGGTAAAGTTGTTGACATGGTAGAACTTCTGCCTATTGATCAAACCATCAAAGTAAATTTGTTGAAGGTAAAGTTGTTAACTTGGTTTTGGAATCCATATACTACAAGGCTTTTCCACTATAAGTCAGATGCTACATCCTAACAATGAACACCATGAAAACCTTAGGAGCATAACCTTTAACATATTATATTTGTTTACTACAATAAGAGCAATGTATTTTAAAATTGGGAAAGTTATCCAGAAATTCAACCATTTGTTCAAAATCAAAGCGAATATAGATTAAGTGATTATGTGGCAGTACGCGTACTTCCATCACCCCTCATTTTTCAGCTCTTAATTTTCAATTCAAAGAAGGATATAACTCATATGCAGTGGCAGTGTAAAGATTTTAACACTATTGTATTTTACCCTGTAGCAGAAGGTAACTTGCCTTGCTTTTCAGGTTACAAATCCCATTTTTTATGAATGGTTAAATGTAAAGGGCAGCCTAATGCACTAAGCTCCCGCTTTGCACGGGGCCCGAAGAAGGGCTGAACCACAAAGGTCTTATTATACGCAGCCTTACCCTGCATTTCTGCAAGAGGCTATTTTCACGACCTGAACCCGTGACCTACTGGTTACATGGCAGCAACTTTACCAGTTACGCCAAGGCTCCCCTTCTATGAAAGGTTACATTTAGTAATCATTAAGGTAACCTGATAGTGTAAAAGCTATTTTTCACTATCAAAAATTGAACTCCTCAAAGAATATTACAACCGAAGTATACCTTCTAAGAGGGCTTCACATATTTCCTCTGTGGTTACATTTAGAGCCCTCAGCAAAATCGCAATGTTCTGTGACTTCTTTGGATCAAGTACCCTATTCTCTTGGCTCATTGAGGGAACAACAAGGTGTTTAGCTGTTGCGCTTGTATTTAAAGCTGGATTCTTCACAACAAACAATGTTTCTATCATCTCTTCATTCAATCTGCAAATATAAACCAGCTCAATTCAACTTACGCTAAAAAAGTTAATGAATATCTATAATGACAATATAATCAGTAGTAAGAGTTCATATTATCATACTTAAATGAGCTTGATTTCAGTTGATCCCACACCATTTCGCGATCCGAACTTGCTCTTACTTTATCCCAATGCAAAGTCTTCAACTTTGGTTTAAGCATCTCCTCATTTTTCTCAATAGAATGACTCTCAACATTTTGATCATTTTTCTCCATAGGAGAAGTTAATACTGGACTCTCATTTGCAGTTACCTTAACTTGAGGTCCATGTACAAATGGAGGTGGAGGAGGAGGTGGACGCTGAGGTGGCGGAGGAGTCACAACGGCGACCAGTTCCGGCGACTTAGGTCTTGGACAACTTTCCCTTTTTGGACTCACACTCGCCGGAGGAGAAATGCTTAACGATACAGACCGGCTGGGTGAGCCCGACCCGGAACTCGATGATGAATCCGAACCCGACAAGCTCGACCCGACAAATTTATCCACTTCAACAGCAGCAAAATCTCTCCTTGACAATGATCCTGCTCCAAAAGAGCTCTCTATATAACCCACAGATTCCTCAGTAGAGTAAAAATCATCATCATTACGGGTATTCCTGTAATTTTGACTTAAATTCCGTCCATTTAACGGCGGAAGTGGACGGAGCTCCGGGGAGGCCATTTTTCTTGAAGATGGAGCTGTATTAGGGTTACTGCTACTATTAATGCCGCCATGTGAATTGACAAGAGTACCCAAATAGAGAAACTCTGAACTAGTTTGAGATGGTCTTTCAAGCTTAGGAATACTATTATTAGTATTACCATCATTTTTACTATTACTATGATTCAATCTACTGCTATTATCGGATCTTTGAGTTTTTGGGTCATTAAAATGGCGCCTCCTTTTCTTTGCGTGCAAACAGATGGCTATGGAAAGAACAACGATAGCAGCTAGAACACAAGTAATGGCAGTGATAATGAGCTTAGAGGAGACATGCTTAGACTTGGAGGTATTTGGGAGGTTAATATCAGAGATATTAGCAGGAAATGAAACGAGTGAAGAAGGGGGTGGTGGGGAGGGTGGGGGAGGTGGTGGAGAGGGGTAGGTGGGGAAGAAGGGGTTGTTATTATCAGGAGTTGAAGCTTGGAATGGGTAAGGAGTAGGGGGTGCTGGGGGAGAGGGTATGGGGGGTTGAGAAGGTGGTGGTGAGTCTATCGGAAAAAAAGATTCGTGGAGAACACGGCGGTTGTGGGCGGAGACGGCGGCGGATGATATACAGTGAGTTGAGCAGAAAAGGAAAAGGAGGAAGAAGAAGGAAAACACCATTGTATACAAAATGCTGCACTGAATCAAGAATCAAGAAGAAGAAGAAGAAGAACAAGTTGTTCAAAAAGAGAAAAATATGAAAACTTTATGGTAAGGTAAAAGCATTGTTGTGTACAAATGCTCTGCTCTGCTCTGTTTTTTTTTTGCATTTGGTCAATGAAAACTGCTACAGCTAGTTGAAGATGACAAACTGCATAGGGAGGAGTGAACTGAGTTCACAGTAGGAAAAAAAGGACAGGAAATTTAGCATTAAAATTTGCATGGCTGTTGAAAAAAGAGAGAGTGAGAAGAAGAGAGAAAAAGCGTGTGTGTGTGAGAAAAGGTAGAAAATTAAGGAGATTATGGAGTAATTATTGTAGTATTAAAAAGTACGTAGTATTCCTAGAAGAATGGACCAATTTGAGGACAGTGGTATATGATGGTGTATCCAGCTAATAATATTCTGCTGTTGAATGAATGATAATACAGTACTTTCTGCTGCCTGTTGTTGTGATTGCAACTGTGTAATGTGAGTTATAACGCTGTTACTCCGTTTCAATTTACTAGTATCTATCAAATAATGACACGTGATGATTTAAAAATTTATTTATATGAACTAACAATAAAATTTAATTAATTAGAGAAATTTTATGTAGAATAATACAACAATCATCTAAATAATGATCAAACGGTTCATTAATATCCAATATATCTCTAGAACTCCGGGCATTTATTTCGATCATTTGACACTTAACCATAAGTGTTTCATCCCATATTATTAATTTTGCTTTCCTTATAAATTTAACATCATTGCTCTGCTTTGATATATTTGTGATGGTTATTTAAGCTGTTTGAAGAGGTATATCAAATCTAAAGTGGGTGGTCTCACAATAAAATAGTTGTTGGCACACCACTTGCTATTATTGCTAACAGCTTCATGCCTCTTGATATGATATTTGCAAGTAATGCATGACATAGAAATATTATTTCGATTCTACCGGAGGCATCTACAAAGAATAATCCCGTTATAACAGAGTCAACTCTTTATAATATAGTCTTGAAAGCTTGTCCGTTTTTAGGATTTAGCTTTGATTGTGCTTCTTCAGACATTTGTATATCATTTTGATTCTTAATAATATACTAACATTTTTACTTTGTGTTCTAACGCTCTTTTTATGAAATAAATTTATGTACCCTAAGCTTTTTTTTTTAACTTGAATAAGAATTTTACTCGTATGATGAATTTAAAAAATAATTGAATTGGATACTCTTGCTAAATAAAATTAAAAGATTTAATTATTTGGTTTTAACATAAAAAATAATTTATTCTATGCTGATCAGATCTTAATATTAGTTCATCTCTTGTTTTGAATATTTGATATTAATTATAATTTTATCCACCATAAATTTTATTTTCAAAGAGTAAAATATTGATATGACATTTCACTTTTAGATCGTTACGTCTGTAGAATCATTAGTGGTATTGACTCTTACGAACCATTTTTTTTCTCTCACACATTTATATTCTTAAATATTTTCTTAGTTGTTGTTTAATAATTGGGTATTTTTTAATATTACACAAAAAATTGACAAAAAATATATTATTTGAGTAGGACAATAGTTCAAATATAATATTAAAATATATTACCGTGGGAGTATTTTCCCCCCCCCCCCTTAATTTCGAGTCTTTATGCGGTCCATTTAATATAAATTTTATTTTTTTGGTATTGGACATTATGGAGTGATAATGTATTGCCAATACGGAGGATTCTTATGAAATTAATTTTATTAAACCTTCCTACATATTTTTAGTAAGTATTTAATAGACCAAAATTTATTAATATTAAAAATTAGCTTAGAAGGTATTGTAGTCCAAAAAATAAGTTATTGCAGTTATATCCTTTCCCTATGAGTTCTTCCATTTAATATTTTAGGGCTACTTTGGTATATTAATATTGTATTTATGCTTTTATAATAATATAGGCTCTCTTTTTTCTAAATGGATTTGGACAATATAATACATTCTCAAGTTAAATTAGTAATATGACATTATTATACGTTTTCAAATTAAATTATTAACAGGATTTTTTAAGAAGTATATGCTAAAATTAATAGGATTACATGACTAAAGACATTTACTTGTTCAATTATATGAATTAGAAAATTCGAAAGTAATTATACAAATAGAATTCCTAACGTGTAGTATTATGTCCTAAAACTGATAGGATTATGAGGCTAATATCTAGAATTTCGGTTATGTCCTTTTATTATGAGTTATTATACTTAATATTATATGGTTATTTTTGTAAACCGACAAGTTAGGTTACTTATCATTCAGATGTGACATTAGCTTTGAGTCACGATGCAATTTTTAAGAATTTTTTATTTACTTACTATATTTCAAAATACATGAAAATATAAATAAGTAAGGATAGAATAATCTCGGTATGTGCATTGTGTATGTACCCCATCAATAACTATTCAATATTGAAAACTCATATAAAATTTACATTAAACAACATGTTTGATTTATAATATGAAAAGTAAATAAATTTTTTTGTAAATGTTAAATGTTGATTATATTTAAATAATTAAAGATAGAAAAAATCATGAAGATCAAACAACAAATAAAATAAAACAATCTTAAAACTAATTTTAATTAAAATCGACATAAAATGCAACTACAACTTTCATGAAGGAACTGTATTTTGTTCAAAGTAAAAAAAAAATATTCCTTCAATTTCTAATATAAATAAAGAAGGTAAAATATATATACCATTATTAGTTTTTAAAACGTTGAGTCAAAGTGGACTCTTGAGTTTATAATCTTTCGATTTTTTTAAATCCAAATTTTTTCAAAGGTTTTCCATACGTATATAGACCATTCTCTCTTTAAGTTCTTCCAATACAAGGTTAAATTTAATGTTTTTATTTATGAATATTTACCTAGTTCAATAAGGAAAGATTTAATAACCAAAAATTAGTTAATTTTAAAGTCCTAAATATTAACATGTGGTATTATGTCCTAAAACTAATAGGATTATAAGGCTAATATCTAGAATTCCGGTTATGTCCTTTTATTATGAGTTATCATACTTAATATTATAAGGTTATTTTTGTAAACCGACATTGTATTCATGCTTTTATAATAATATAGATATTTCTTACTTTTTTTAAATTTATTTATGTATCTTATTTTCCTTTTTACTGTGTTTTAAAAAAATATTTCTTTTTATATTTAGTGGACGTTTGGTTATAAGATTTTTTGAAATTCTAGAAAAAAATATAAAATAAAAAATTTAAGTGACAGTGGTATCTGAAAATTAGAGTTGTGTTTGGATATAAATACAATTTGGAGCTGCTTTTTGAATTTTTGTGAGTGATTTGAAGTATAATTTTTCCCGCTTTAGAGTTTTTCAAATTTCCGAAAAATTCGAAAATTCAACTTCAAGTGAAAATGATAATTTTCACTGCTAAACACTGATTTAAAAAAAAAGTATTTTTTTTAAAAAAAAAAACTAAAGTATCTTTTATGGACGAACGGCCTCTTAACAACAATAACAACAACAACGACCCGGTATAATTCCACTAGTGGGGTCTACGGAGGGTAGTATGTACGTAGACCTTAACCCTACGCCGAGGGAGTAGAAAGACTGTTTCCGAGACCAACGGCAGCTTGGTCATTCTTTAAGTCTTAATTTTTTTATGGCATTTTTAAGACGTCAAAATTCATTGATTTTTTGATACATAACGTACTACATGTCTTTTCGTCTTCTTGAGTAGAGATGTAATCTTTATAGCCTGTTTGACCAAGCTTTTTTTCGATCCAAAAGCATTTTTGGCCAAAATTTGAGGTGTTTGGCCAAGCTTTTAGATGGAAAAAAAATGCTTTTGAGGAGAAGCAGAAGTAATTTTTGAGAAGCAGAAAAAAGTATTTTCTCTCCAAAAGCACTTTTCTGAGAAGCGCTTTTGAGAAAAATACACTTAGAAACAGTTTTCATAAGCTTGCCCAAACACTAATTACTGCTCAAAAGTGCTTTTCAAATCAATTAGCCAAACACAAACTGTTTCTCACCAAAAAATATTTTTTTGAAAAGAACTTTTAGAAAAGCACTTCCCAAAATAAGCTGATTTTAGAAGCTTGGCCGAACAAGCTATTAGTTTAAGAAGATAAAATTTAATATTTTTTTATTTTTTAAATATGGTGTTCAATCAAATTAAAACACAATACGAATGGGAGTAATTTATAAGTGGGCCCTTTCTCGTATCTGAATGAATCGGATTTTGATCAATGTGTCTGTCCCACTGCTTTTACCACCTTGTCCTACTTCCTGCAGCAGTTACACCTATGCACAGGAAGTAAGTAGATATTTATGTTATGTTTGTCTTACATTTACTCGTGTGGTTCTTATAACGTTACTAGTAGTAAAGTTTGTTGAAATCAACTTATAAGTACTTTTTGCATTTACTGCAAACATCAACAGTATTTATAAGTCAAAGTAAATCAAAAGTGAAAATTTAGTCACCTCAACTCAAATTCTTTTTTTTTTGCTTGTAAACATTTTTTTTACCTAATTCATATTTTGTAATCTTGAAATGGTCGACCGATTGAAATTAATTACATTCGTTAGTCGGTGGATATATCTTGTATAGTACTATTATTATATATAAAAATATATATTTTTAAAAAAAAGGGCAGCTTGATGCACTAAGCTTCAGCTATGCGGGGAAGGGCCGGATCACAAGGGTTTATTGTACGCAGCTGTTTCCACGACTCGAACCCGTAACCTCCTGGTCACATGGCGCATGATATCAACTTTACCAGTTACGCCAAAACTCTTCTTCATAAAAATACACATATTTTATCGACTATTATTTTCGGAAGCAACTAAAAATATACATTTTACAATATCCGTCGCGAAACAAATGTCTTTATTCCCTTTTTTTATGCTCGTCAACTATTTTATATTAGCCATACCAAACGAGTTCTTAATCTTGCTAATATATAGAACGAGAAAGGCAATAGGGTTTGTAAAACTCTGGATGTTGCGCTGCGTGATTCTATATTCCAATTGCATTATGATTGAATAATAAATGTAATATATTCCTAGTTATAAGACAGCAATATTATCATAAATAAATTTTAAATAAAGCATCATTTGATTGACTTGGTAATATTATACACAAGAATGTGGCCGACAATGATTTAACAATTATTTTAAACTTCATAGACATTAGTGCTCTCCTTAGTCCTCACCCCATATTTAAATCAACATAAAATCACCTCCCACGTACAGTAGGTATATAAACTAATAAGTAAAACACATTGTGTTTATAAATGACTCATCAAGGCCGAGGAAAACAAAGAGAATTAACCCCTTTTTTCTTCTAGGATTTAAGTTTTGTGCATCGTTATTTATAA